GCAGAAAATCAGATTTTGTCAGTAGCTGGTTCAGCATGTTTACATGTACTTGAGTAATCAGATAACGGGGAAACTCCAGGTCTACATGAGTTGGGCAGTGATCAGATTTCTGCTTTGCAACCAGCCAATAAACCCACAGAAGAAGATGCGACATAAATGTATTATAAAACTCAAATGTCATGCATCCTAAAGTGTTTTGTTGTCGTCTCGCAGATACTGTGTTAAACACTGCTTGCCGTTTCTGGGACAGCGCTTTGTTTTGAGACTGAGAAATCTGAAAGAAATCAGAGTGAGGGTTCACATGCGCTGAGAAATCTGATTACTGAGCCAAACTCCAGCTCTCTTCATCAGATTTCTTAATCAGATTTCTAGACCTTACTCTGATCTAAGAAATCAGAGTGTGCTGTTAACACAGGAGGCTAAAAAAATATCCTAAAAGCTTCTTGACAACTTCAGATTGATTTTTTTTATTAACTAAAGCCTGCCATCGAGGTCAGGCACCATGTGCAAATTAAAAGAAGCCTGAATGACTCACTTCAAATTGATCTTTAGTACCATTTTTCAATGTAAGTGACCAAATTCTCATTACTGCAACACAGTAAGATTTGAAGATGCATCTGTAAATCATGTTTTTTGTCCAATTTTTCTTTTCACACTCTATGTACTGTACATATATTTTACAAAATACAATATTTTGCAATTTTCTCATTACTGCAACACCTTGTCAACCATTGATTTTATTTGCACTTGCGCCTCTTGACATTATGTTGTTGTTGCAAGGATGATATTAAATTACAGATCTTCAATAGTTTTAAATGTAATAAAAATCTTTAAAACAAAAAAAGCAAACACATTAATTTTATCAGTAATTAGAAACAGATATAAGAAGAAACAATGATGATAATAATGATGGTAAACATTTTAATCCAAAAAACATTGTAATAGAAAAAATAATAAGACTGGCCTATTAAACTACATGTTTAAGTGATACTTATGACCCTCAAATATTTAAGAAGATAGTTTGAGGCAGTTTTGTGAGAATGACCCATTTACAGTCATTGCAAAAGTTTGAACACCACTACTAAAATTACGTTTGATTTTACAACTGAAAAAAGACATCCTCTACAGAGAGCACACTTAAATATGGAATAATGCATCATTCTATTTACTTGTTGCATTTAATATATTTGGACCCCCATAAGAGCAGGACCTGAGTCAATCCCCTCACCACCCCACCCCTGCTGGCTCCACCTCTGATGACAGTTTATGACAAAGAAGGCAGTTTGACGTCACTCACAAGAACTTGTCTTATTTCCTCATTACATGTATTACCTTGTTTATTACTGTACTGGTATCTAGTTCACTGATGAGGCATTTCACAATAACTAGTGCACACGCACACATCTGCCATTACAGCTAACTGATCATTTTTCAAACCTGCTAGCTAACATTATCTGAAAATAGTCCTGCCAAATGATTACTGTAATATTTAGTCAGTTTTACAGCAATAAAGAAGCAATACATTTATAGACCAAACAAAAAGAATGTAAGTTGATATGTACTGTAATGAACAGAATGTCTTACCCCCAGAGCTTTTGGCTGGAATTTCATACATTTCTGAAGTGGGCCTGGAGCAGATACTGTATTGATGTTAGTAACAGGTGGGATTACAACATTCTCGACTCCAACACTGGGGACACCGACATTAGGTACTCCAAAAGTAGTAACTCCTACATTAGGGACCCCTACATTAGGAACTCCAACAGTAGGAACTCCTACATTAGGGACCCCTACATTTGGGACTCCAACGGTAGAACCATCTGCATTAGGAACTCCTACATTAGGGACTCCTACATTAGGAACTCCAACAGTAGAAACACCTACATTAGGGACTCCAATATTAGGAAACCCAACAATAGGAACCCCTAGATTAGGGACTCAAACAGTAGGGACCCCTGGCCCAGCCCCAACTACATTTTGCCGTTTTTGCCACTATTGGGATCAGTTGGGTGACCACCATGAAGCCATTTCTTGGGTTATTGTCTGGTACAGCAGTGGTGGACATCCTTAATGGAGATGTGTTCACCTGTGAGAAACCATAATTTTCATCTTACTATCAGCAGATCTGTAACGAGAGTCATTTTTTATCACATTAACCCATTTAATAACAGCATAATGTTCTGTTATCACTGTTGAGGCTTGTTGTTCAGTTACTATAAATGTTTCAGTAACTACTATTACTACTATGAATCTATTATGTTCTGAAGTAATAAGACTCAGAAACTGAAAGTGTGGACCAACGTACAGACCATTAGTGATAAGGTGGTTTAAAACAAATCCATAACAAAAAAGTAATGAAAATAAGAGTAGCACAACTAAACCAAATAGCTCTGCTTTAAACCAATGATAATAATAAGTGGAAAATGTAGAACTCATTTATCAGGTAGTGAGTGAATAAAAATAGAAACAAAATGCAATAATAGTACAAATTAAACTTCAAGACTATCAGTTCTTTCTTTCACAAATTATACATACATAGTGTTACTACACTATATGGTACTATAGCATTTAAGTTAGTTTCGGAAATTAATTTGTTTGTCTGTTAGACCACTCTTTCATTTATTTAACTTCAAGATAAAATGGCCATTAAACTCAAGTTATTAATACATCAGTATCAAGGAAAGAAACATTTAACCTCAACAACTCGATATCATAACATTGTTTTAGTGTTTAGTGCATCACTCTTTACCTTTATTACAGCTTCCATTCTTTTCAGGGACTCACTTTCAAATTTTTAAAGAAACCTGCATCCATGCTTCCAAAGTTATCTTATACATGTGTAAATCATGCTGTAATATGTTTTCTACAAAGATCATGGACCAGTGTGCACAGTGCAAACATTCTCATCTACCGTTTTTACAACAAAAACATTTGGCAAATCACAAGAGCCAATCATTAAGGAAGAGTATTTTTGTTTTTTACCTGAAGTAGAATACAGCTTGCTTCTTCCTGCGAATCTTAAGGAACAGTTGATGTTTTATCTTCTGTTTTATTCACTTGGCCCCTTTTTAACTTCCTTGATTTTCTGTGTTCTTTGGAATTACAACACAAATGATGACAAATGGACTCCAAACACACCTGACAATAATCATATAATATACAGTATCTATTGAATAGCCTGGTGAAAGTCTAGTTCAGCCTGTTATTGCCACTAATAAATCTTAGCTTTCTAAAAACATCTTTTCAGAAGAGAATTTTTTTTTCACAAGAAATGGCACATCAGCATTGAGTTCTATAGTAATCCACTATGTCCACCAAAGCATATGATGTATGTACAGTGAGTATGTCAGACTTTCTGTAGAAAATGATCCAGAAAACACGCTGCAAATACAAGACACGATAGGCTATCAGCAGTAGAGCAGGGGTCACCACTTTCATCCACAGAGGGCCGGTGTGGCTGCAGGTCCAATTAAGCTGGAGCACCCCTGATTCTACCTATTTAAAGAGATCTCAATCCTCAAACAATTATTTCAAGGTTATGGGATGCCACCTTCGCCACATATTAGTTTGTGAAATTTACTGCCTTGCTAGATCTGCCCTTGTCAAGTGCTATTATTGTGAAATGGGAGCATGTAGGAGCAACAACAGCTCAGCCACGAAGCAGTAGATCACGCAAACAAAGCAGGGCTGCCAAGTGCTGAAACATGTTTAGCTCACTACAGAGTTCCAAACTGCCTCTGAAAGCAACATCAGCACAAGAACTGTGCATCAGAAGCTTCAGAGAATAAGTTTCCATGGCCAAGCAGCTGCACTTAAGTCTAAGATCACTATGCGCATTGCCAAGCTGGAGCAGTGAAAACATGTGCTCTGGAGTGATGAGTCATGCTTCACTATCTGGCAGTTTGATGGATGAATCTGGGTTTGGTAAATGCCAGGACAACACTACATACCAGAATGCACAGTGCCAACAGTAAAGTTTGGTGGAGGAGGGATGGTGAGCTGGGGTTGTTTTCAGGGTTTGGGCACCTTAGTTCCAGTGAAGGGTGATGTTAATGCTGCAGCATACAAAGACATTTTACACAATTATATGCTTCCAGCTTTGTATTAGCAGTTTGGGGAAGACCCTTTCCTGTTCCTGAGCCCCTGTGCACAAAGCAAGCTCCATAAAGATACTGTTTGACGAGTTTGGTGTGGTGGAACTCCAGTGGCCTGCATAGAGCCCTGACCTCAATACTCAACACATCCTGAAATAAACTTATATTTTATGAATTATGAAATATATATTCATTATTCACACTTGGTTTCCACTTGTGTTAATATAAATCAGGTCCTTCTGGACAATTAACCCTATTCCATAGTGCTATCTCTCAGATTTATATATCACAGGTCAGAGCTTTCTCTGAATACTAAACTTCAGAGACAGCTGATTGGAAGAAAAGTTCTTGCGCTTAGACAAATGAAGAAATTCACCATTTTCACCAAAGAGAAACCTGTAGTACTGGAAGTATTTGTGAAGAAAAAAAATATATAAATTGTAGGTACATTGTGATTTCCTAAAGCAACAGATTTCCAATACAATTCTGCCAGTTATACTGTTCAAGTGTAATTAATTAGAGACAACAACAAAGTAAAGTTAAGCTTATTTGACAAATAGGCTGTTTCTTTTTTGCATTGGAAAATCATTCTTCTAAAGAAAAGTTTCCTTTGGAGTTCCACAAGGTTCCATTTTAGGGCCACTGTTCTTCTCAGTGTACATGCTGCCTCTAGCAAATGTGATGAGGAAACATGGAATTAACTTACATGTGCGCTTTGACAATTTATACCTATACATTTATATAGTAGTGTCTATACCTTTATTTGTATATAGGTATAGACACTATATTTGGAAAGTCAAGACAGTGTTAACTGTCAAGTACAACCCCAACTCCAAAAAAGTTGGGACACTGTTTAAAATCTAAATAAATGTAAATAAAAACAGAATGCAATGATTTGCAAATCTCATAAACCCATATTTTATTCAAAATTGAACATAGAACATAGATACTTTTCACTCAAACTGTTATGCTGATAATATCATTTGTTAAAAAAAATAGAATGTAAAATAGAAATGTTTTCACTAATGATCTCAGACTTTTTGACCCTACCTTATATTATTCAAAAAAATTATAACCTAAATAAAGCACCCTGAATCAGCATGTTAGGACTTGCAGCTCATCTCCAGGACTATTTCTGATTTCAATAACAGTCTTCTGGTTTTGGTAAGCTCACACTGTATGCTGGAGGATTTTCTGTAGGGGGGTTGTTCACATTCACACCAGGATTTCTGATGTGAAGCACATCCTGAAATAAAATGATATTTTATGAATAATAAAATATATATTCATTATTCACGCTTGGTTTCTGCTTGTGTTAATATAAATCAGGTCCTTCTGGACAATTAACCCTTAGAAGTAGTTATTTGATTTCAAAAGTCAATTAGATATCTAGTGTAAACATCTAGTGTAAACATAGACTTAGACTGCAGTAAAATAATAGGCCCACATAAATAACAACTTCATCATTATGTCATACTTTTGTAAATGATGGTTAATAATTATTTCCTGGTTACACATGCATAAATGCTACCATTTCAGTTGTGATTAATCATATAATTAAGCCTTATTAACCATTTACTTTGTCACATACAAAAACTTGTGAATTTTGTGTACTCATATATATGTATGTATATATCCATGTATGTATGTATAGTACAGTGCATTCACAAAATAGATATGAAACCAAAACCACATATTTTTTTGTGAAGTAGACCCTTATACTGATAGCCCACAAGCTTCTCTTACCTGTTGACCGCTGTGAGTTTGGAATGGATTGACCATTGAACAGCATGCTGCATAGCTCGGAGCCACAGTTACAACAGAGACCTTTAAAATAGAGTGGGATGGAGTTTAACACCATAGGTTTCTATTCCATAGCGCTATCTCACAGATTTATTAACCACAGATCAGAGCTTTCCCCGAATACTAAACTTCTGAGACAGCTGATTGGAAGAAAAGTTCTTGCACTTGGACAAATTCACCATTTTCACCAAAGAGAAACCTGTAGTACTGGAAGTATTTGTGGAGAAAAAATATATAAATTGTAGGTACATTGTGATTTCCTAAAGCAACAGATTTCCAATACAATTCTGCCAGTTATACTATTCAAGTGTAATTAATTAAAGACAACAACAAAGTAAAGTTAAGCTTATTTGACAAATAGGCAGTTTGTTTTTGCATTGGAAAATCATTCATCTAAAGAAAAGTTTCCTTTGGAGTTCCACAAGGTTCCATTTTAGGGCCACTGTTCTTCTCAGTGTACATGCTGCCTCTAGTAAATGTGATGAGGAAACATGGGATTAACTTACATGTGCGCTTTGACAATTTAAACCTATACATTTATATAGTAGTGTCTATACCTTTATTTGTATAAAGGTATAGACACTATATTTGGAAAGTCAAGACAGTGTTAACTGTCAAGTACAACCCCAACTGCAAAAAAGTTGGGACACTGTTTAAAATCTAAATAAATGTAAATAAAAATGCAATGATTTGCAAATCTCATAAACCCATATTTTACTAATGACATTTAGAACTTGATGGCAGCAACACATCTCAAAAAAGTTTGGACAGGGGCTGGAAAAGTAAGTGGTACTAATTTAAAGAGCTTAAACAGCTGAAGGAGCAATTTGCAACTAATTCACATGGCTGGGTATAAAAAGAGCATTTTAGAGAGGCAGAGGTTCACCAATCTGCGAAAAACTGCATCTTAAAATTGTGGAACAGTTTCAGAAAAATGTTTCTTGATGTTAAAATTGCAAAAACTTTGGATATCCCACCATCTGCAGTGCATGATATCAAAAGATTCAGAGAATCTGAAGAAATCCCTGTACACAAGGGACAAGGCCGATGGTCAGTATTGGATGTTTGTGATCTTTGGGCCCTCAGCCAGCACTGCATTGAAAACAGGCATGATTCTGTACTGGAAATCACTGTATGGGCACAAGAACACTTTTAGAAATCACTGTCTGTGAACACAGTTCACTGTGCAATCCACAAATGCAAGTTAAAGCTGTATCATGTAAAGAAGAAGCCATATGCCAACACAATCCTGAAACACCACCGTCTCCTTTGGGCCAAAGCTCATTTAAAATGGACTGAGGCAAAATGGAAAACTGTTCTGTGGTCAGATGAATCAAAATTTTAAATTCTTTTTGGAAACCACGAACACCGTGTCCTGTGGACTCAAGAGGAGAGGAGACCATCCAGCTTGTTATCAGTGTACAGTGAAAAGCCTGCGTCTCTGATGGTATGGGGTTGCAATAATGCCTATGGCGTGGGCAGCTTACACATCTGGAAAGGCACTATCAATGCTGAACAGTATATAGAGGTCTTAGAACAACATATGCTCCCATCCAGACAGCGTTTTTTTTCAGGGAAAGCCTTGCATGTTTCAGCAAGACAATGCTAAACCACACACTGCATCCATTGCAACAGTATAGCTTCACTGAAGAAGAGTCCAGGTGCTGAACTGGCCTGCTTGCAGTTCAGATCTTTCACCAATAGAAAACATTGGGCGCATCATGAAATGAAAAATCTGGCAAAGAAGACCCAGGACTGCTGAGCAGCTAGAATCCTACATCAGACAAGAATAGGACAACATTCCTCTCCCAAAACTCCAGCAATTGGTCTCCTCACTTCCCAGATGTTACGTACAGGGCTGAGCCCTGCCCCCCACTACGGCTACTCAGACCATCTCTGTGACCGCTCATCAGACGTGCCAAACCAGACCAGAAGCAAGTGAGAGAGAGCTATCTCTGCTCTTCAGGACTGTTTTGAGCACACTGACTGGGAGATGTTCAGAGAAGCAGCAACCTCCGACGACTCCATCAATCTGGAGGAGTATACAGAATCAGTGACTGGCTACATCAGCAAGTGCATTGATGATGTTACTGTCTCCAAACTCGTCACAACTCACCCCAACCAGAAACCATGGATGACTGCAGAGGTGCGCACGCTGCTGAGAACCCGTGACGAGGCTTTCAAGTCAAGGGACAGAGCAAGCCTCAGGATAGCAAGAGCCAAGCTTTCCCAGGCCATCAAAGAGGCTAAGCGTGCCTACTCAAAGAAAATCCATTAACATTTTCAAAACACTGCTGTCACATCTCACCCCAACCAGAAACCATGGATGACTGCAGAGGTGCGCATGCTGTGCTGAAAAAGTCTCCAGTGTCCTGCCTCAATGACTACCATCCCATTGCACTCACTCCAATCATCATGAAGTGCTTTGAGAGGCTTGTCATGAGGCACATTAAAGACCAGCTTCCTCCTTCACTGGACCCACTGCAATTTGCATATCGCCCCAACCGCTCAATAGATGACGCCATCTCCACCACACTCCACCTGGCTCTCACCCACCTGGACTATAAAGACACTTATGTCAGAATTCTGTTCATAGACTTCAGTTCAGCATTCGACACCATCATCCCTCAGCAGCTGATTGGAAAACTGAGCCTGCTGGGCCTGAACACCTCCCTCTGAGGTCTCTTAGTCAGGATAGGTAATAACATCTCCAGCACCACCATACTTGACTTCTGAAGAGTGCAAGGTGACCACCGCCCAGTTAACATCACTGGCTCTGCTGTGGAAATTCTCCAGAGCACCAAGTTCCTTGGTGTCCACATTACAGAGAACCTCACCTAGTCCCTCAACACCAACTCCATAGCCAAGAGAGCCCAGCAGTCTTCCTACAGAGACTGAAGAAAGCTCATCTCCCCGCTTCCATCCTCACCATGTTCTACAGGGGGCATTCTGAGCAGCTGCATCATCGCCTGGTTTGGGAATTGCACTGCCTCCGACCCTACAGAGCATAGTGAGGACAGCTGAGAAGATCATCAGGGTCTCTCTCCCGTCCATCACAGACATCTACACCACACGCTGCATCCGGAAAGCCACCAGCATCGTGAACTACCCCATCCGTCCCTCACACAGACTTTTTTCACTGCTGCCATCTGGCAGAAGGTACCGGAGCAACAGCTTTGTCCCCCAAGCAATCAGGTTTTTAAATTCACAAGGACTGAACTAAATCCCCCCCCTGCCAACACACACACACACACACACACACACACACACACCTCTTTTGATGCTCTACTTGCACTGTCTTTCGGGAACATTGCGGCTAATACTGTGTTTACACTGTTTTACTACCTCAGTAACTGCTGTGTTTATACATGTTATCTGACGTAACTTACAGGTCACAGCATGTTAAATATGTCTGCACCTTATTCCACTACCTCATGTCCAGAAATCTGTGCTGTGTCGGTGCTACACTGTCCTGTCTGTTTACTGTGTCTAATGTCTGTTTAATTTATCGTATTTATTGTATTGTTTCTAGCTTAAATTTTGTTTGCACACTGTCTGCACGTTCACACTTTGTAATTTTGTACTTTGTACTTTTGTACTTTTGTTCCTTGTTGCACCTTGTTGTTCCTGGAGGAACGTAATTCTGCTCCACTGTGTACTTGTACATAGACAGAATGACAATAAAAGCCTCTTGACTTGACTTGATATTTACAGACTGTTTTTGAAAGAAGAGGGGATGCTACCCAATGGTAGACGTGGCCCCGTCCCAACTTTTTTGAGATGCATTGCTGCCATCAAGTTCTAAATGAGTTAATGTTTTTCATGAAATGGTAAAATGGCTCACTTTCAACATCTGATATGTGTTCTATGTTCTGTTGTTAATAAAATATGAGGCTGTGAGATTTGCAAATCATTACATTCTGTTTTTATTTACATATATTTACGTTTTCACAGCGTCTAAACTTTTTTGGAATTGGGGTTGTAAATTGTGTCAGATATTTCTCAGTGGATGTTGCAAAACAGTTGGTAGATTAAGAAATATTATTAAATTTTGGAATTTTCTATTTCAGAGAGATACAGAAAAACTTGTCTATTCATTTGTTTCAGACAGAATTCATTGTCACGATGCTCTTTTAGCAGGCTTCCTATGAAAATAGTACATCTTCTACAACTCGTGCAAAAAGACAACACATATCACCCCTTTTTGAAGAAACTGCACTGACCAGGGGTTGAAATTGAAGTGCTTGTATTTGTTTCTAAAGCTCTAAATGGCCTAGCACCTACATATCTCACAGAATACCTCTCTATTCATGTTCCAACTTAGATCTGCATATACTGCTCTTCTGTAATTCCTCTCCATAAATTACAGAAAAAGTGGAGAGGCCTCTTTCTGGTATGCTACTACTGTGGAACTGAATACCTTCCACAATTAGTCAGTTAATGTTTTTAACTTCACTCTATTTTAATGTTTTATTTAGATTAATACAATTTTAGGTTTTATTAAGCTCTGAAGTTAGTCATTATTATATTGAATGTACATTTCTAGGAAACAAACTATAACTGTACTTTACATTGTGTAAGTTCATTAAATTGCCAAAAAAAGGACCATTTACAAGGTCCAAAAGAACCTTTTGACATTATTATTTAGGTGGCAGAAGTGTTTACGAAATGTACATGTTCAAATCCAAAAATGTTCCGTGTTACTGTGATGCTCACCACTGGTTCAGTGCAGCAGGTGGCTTTGCATCCAAACGCTGAGATGAAGATGGAGATGATGAACTGAAGCAGAGACAAAACCAGCAGCACTCCACTGATCCCAAAGGTCCTAGTCTGGTATTCAGTGTGACATCATTTGTTAATAACAAAAAAATCAACTAATATCTTAGACCCACAACTTCACACAGTCTGTTTGATTTACAAAACTCAATTTCAAAAACTAGACATTCTTTAAAATGTTGACTGTTCATAACATAACCATGTATTTTCAAGAAAAAAAAAAACATAGTTCATACAATAATACATCAAATATCATGTTTTTGTACTGTTACTACAGGTCAAAGTGGATTTACAAGTCACAGTTTCCGGTTTTGATTAGCATTTCACACACTGCATTGTAAATTGATTTAATTAAGACTGACTTCTGACAGTGGGAAATAGATACAAACACTGATTTGACCATCAAAAACATAATGTAAACATGTAATTTCTCACTTGGATACGGCACGTTTAAATCCAGTCAAAATGATTTAAACTAAGCATCTTGTACAAAAAAATCATCCAGCACTTACCAAAAATCTCCTGTAAACCTCATCACAATTATAGGAGCCGTAGTGGTAGTCGTAGCAAGGGCCGTATCGATATACTATGAAATCCATTAACAGTAGAATGAAAGATGTTGCTGCAATTATAGCATTGACCACATTCATTCCCAGAGAGCCTTTCACCTGCAGGACAGAGATGATTAGAGCAGAACGGATTTAAAGAATAACTGCATCACTGTTTACTGCACAACTGTTTCTCTGCTAAACTGGAACTGAGATTAGCCTTTTGAAAATATACAAAAGAGTATTTTGCACAAATGCTGTGATTATTTTGTATAAGTTTAGCTGTTAGAAGTTGAGGTGCCTATTTTTGATCATTTCACATTTACACAATTATTTAGTCATACAAGTTTTTGAAATTATGCAGTTATGCAATGAATGACATTTTATATTTTATTAATTCCATATCATATCCAAGTTAGTGCTCACTTTTGATTCTTTTAGTTCATTTCTATGGTAAAAATGATGAAAATGTGTGAGTGTATATGTATATAATGAAAATGTGCATATGTATATGAATCAATAAGCTTCTCTTTCCACAGAACAAGACTGCATGAAGAACTTTATCAAATCCAAATAATAATAAAGAATTCTCCCCTTCTACTTACAAACACGAATGTGGTTTGGATGGAAAGCTTAGAATCATAATAAGTATGATGACATGCTCTTATTGTTACTACTGATAACTACAACTGCTAATGTTAACTATTTAAGAAATACTGACGTTGACATACCAAACAGGGATGAAGATTCTTCTCTGCTGCAACAGTCAGAGAGCCAGTGATGATGTACTGCAAGGGTAAGAAAAAGATACGTTTATTGGAATTTATTATAGTCATATGCAAAAATGTGAACACCCCTTGTCAAATTACATGTTTTGCTGATGTTCAAACAAAAAAAATGTGTAAACAAATTACACACTCTACAGGGAACAAACGTGGTATTTGTCTGTAAATTTTAGGGAAAGATTTGTTTATTTGCTAAATTTACACATATTAGAAAACACAAATGCACATGCACGCACACACACACACACACACACACACTCTATGCCACTTATCCTCCTGGGTCGCAGAGGGTGCTGCAGCCTATCCCAGCAGTCATCGGGCAGAAGGCAGGAAACACCCTGCACAGGTCATCATTCATCTCAGGGCAGACACACAGACATACACATTCACACCTAGGGGCAATTCAGCGTCTCCAATTGTCCTGACTGCATGTCTTCGGACTGTGGGGGGGGACCCACACAGACATAGGGAAAACATACAAACTCCACACAGAAAGGACCCTGGTCGCCTGGCCCGGGAATGGAACCCAGGCCCCTCTTGGTGTGAGGTGACAGTGCCGCTCTTTTAGAAAACAATAAATCTAAAACATAAAATGTGCCATAACTTTTGCACAGGCCATTTTGTGTTTTATTTCACTTTTATTCCTCTTTGTGCATTCAAATGTGCGCAAGTCTACATGGAATTTGACCATGGGTGCCCAAACATTTGCAAACAACTGAACAATTATGAAATGATCTATTCCAGTGTATCCCAGTCCTGTTCCTGGAATCCCCCTGTCCTGCACAGTTTACAGATCCAGCTGACCCATTTTAACCTCAGGAAGGGCTGAGTAGTGAAAAGTTACAGAGCTGGACTGGAAAATATGAACTAGTATTGCTGCTTTTTAATATAACAAAGAATCTCAGAACTTACGAACAGAGAGCCCCAGTAAACAACTCCACTGTAGACGGAAATCATTGGCTCGACGACTGACAACACGATGCCGAACAGGAAAGTTATGATTCCAATCATTATTTGGACAGTCTGTGGAAAAAACAAACATCAAGACATTCTGGTTACATTTTTATAGTTAAAAGTATAAAAAAAGTGTAAAATAAGCTAATAATAATAATAATAATAATGATAATAATAATAATAATAATTTATTATTACTGGTACCGAAACTAAACCTTTTGATAGCATTATTTGAATTCTTTGCTTATCTATACAGTAATATTTTGATTAAAGCTTAAAAGTGTCATTGCTGAGCCAGAAGATTAAAAACAGGCTAAAATATAGTGAGTGTGTGCTGCTATGAGTCGTCCTCTAAAGCCTGAAATAATCATGTAAAGGTCAGAGGCGTCGGGTCGGGAGATTTTCATACCACATCATACGTCTTCATCTCAAAAAGAAGGTCCGGCTTGATGTTTAGGTCCCAAATGATCTCAAAATCAACATTATACTGATGAAGATGTGATGATTAGTAGATAATTCACCTAAAGCTGCTCTATTTGCGTTGTTACATTTTTTTTAAAGGAGCATTAATACTGAGTCAAGGTCAGTATTCTTTTAGACAACATCAGATGTCTTTAGGTATTAATGTCACATGTACTGGCTCAAAAAGAAGGTCCGGCTCAATGTTTAGGTCTCCAATGCAAAATCAGCTTTGTACTGATGATGATATGATGACAAGAGTAGATAATTCACTCACATCCTCAAAAGACGTGTCCTTCACCAAGTTTTAACTGAGTTCTTTTTGAATTCTCTTTCAATCATCAGATTCATCCATTTCGAAGAGGGGTTTGAGACACAACCCATGTTACAAAAGGTTCTTTGCTTGCAATTACATATTTCCGTCAGAAGGGTCTCCAAAATCTAAATCTATCTTTCACTAGACAGGAATGCCATCATTTACATTTGAAGAACAGCTAGTAAGAAAATAACACGACTGTTATCTGGTCTTTACCTTGATTATATAGATTATACTTTTATTACAAATGCAGACAAAATGCTACATTGATAACAGTGTGGAGGAGGATTGCATTGCCTTTTTTCTAGAGGATGAAAAATTACCTATAAGCTAAATTGACAACTCCAGATGTTTTTGTTTGTGTGTTTTTACACAAACCGCCTGCCATTGTACATAAAAATAGCAAACAAAACTTCTCCCTCTCAGTGAAAACAAATCTCAAAACTTTTCAGCTGAACAGGTATCATTTTGTGTTAACAGATATTTGATAGTGATTTCCCTGATTGCTACCATCCTGCTGCCTACACTCGCTGTGCTTTGTGTTTTGATGGATTGATTTCATCATTTCATCATTTCATCATTCATCAGCTTTTTTTCTCACCCTCTTGTTGTCAGCCAAAATCCAAAAAACTTTGATAGAAAAATGATGTACTTTTTGTAAATTAAATGAATATTTTTTTATCTACATGATGCTTATGACATTCAAATATTTATGGAGATGGTTTGTGGTGGTTTTGTGAGAATGACCCATTTACAGTCATTCAAGCAAAACTTTGAACACCCCCCATTAAAATGACATGTTTTTGTTGATTTTCTAAGTGAAAATAAGTTAGCACATCCTCTATAGAGGACACGTTTATAAAGGGAACAATGCGTAATTTCTATTTGTTTTCTGCATGTACCATGTTCGAAAAAAATGTAACTTTTGCAAAGGCCATATTTTGTTTTACTTTTTGATTTTATGTTGAATTCAGCAAAAAATAAACAGTAACTGTGCATTAAAATGTGCAGAAGTATTCTCTTATTTTCAGTCAGAAAATCAACAAAACATCATTTGTCGGGGGTGCCACAACTTTTGCATAGGACTGTATATCCCTGTATTAGAATTCTGATAAGAATGTTTTACATATTTTACTACTAATGTCTACTTCTGATTATGTCAAGGGCAGGCCTAGGGCAACTACCCTAACACACACACACACACCCAAGAGCCCCACTGCTCAGCCTCTGATGTCAGAATATGACAAGTCGCTTGAGATTGCTTAGCGGAAACTGTTTCATTTCCTCATTACAGGCATTTATTACTTTGTTTATTACTGTACTGGTACGAAATTCACTGATACTGCCTTGCACAATGACTGACACATACACACAGACACAAACACACACACACACATCTGTCAATAAAACTAGCTTTAATAGCATCAGCATTTGTGGACGATATATATATATTAGACATATATATATATATATATATATATATATATATATATATATATATATATATATATATGTATGTATATCTATATATATATATATATATATATAGATATATATATATATATCGTCCACAAATGCTGATGTATATATGTATATATGTATCATATGTTCCTAACAATGAATTAAAGCTTTCAGAGCAACAACAAATCTAATAGTTTCTGTGACCTGCTAGCTACAACTATCCATTTCATAGTCCTGCTGTTTTAAGTCAATTTAACAGCAAATAAGAAGCACTACATTTATAGACCAAACAAAAGAATGTACCATTATGAATGGAATCTCTTACCCCGAGAGCTTGTGGCTGGGATTTCAGAAATTTCTGAAGTGGGCCTGGACCAGATGTTACTGTGTTGATGTTATTGACAGGTGTGACAACAGGGACTCCAACGGCAGAGACCCCTGGTCCAGCCCCAACTGCATTTTGCCCTGTTGGGATCAGTTGGGTCACCACCATGAAGCCATTTCTTGGGTTATTGTCTGGTATGGCAGCAGTGGACATCCTTAATGGAGATGTGTTCACCTGCGAGAAACCAGAATTTTCACCTTACTCTCAGCATATCTGTGATGAGAGTCCTTTTTTTCAGATTAACCCGTTTAATGCAGGCATCGTGTCTTATATCATTCAGTTACTGTAAATGTTTCAATAACTATCATAAATCTATTAGGAAACTAATGTGTTTTGGAGTTATGAGACACAGAAACTGAAATGTGGGTCAAAATACTGACCCTTAAAGTTTAACAGGGTTTAAAAAACACATCTTAAAAACACATCAATAACAAAAAAACAATAAAACATATGAGTAGCACAGCCAAACCAAATAGCTGCAAAGTTCAGTCTTAGAAGCGGGTTGCTTTTTCTGCTTTTCACACCCCAAGTGATTTATCTATATGTATCTTATGTGTGTGTAATTTACTGTTAAATACTATCGATGTCAAAAAAAAAAAACAGTCTCTCAATTTTTTAACTTTTTAAAAATAATTTGAGAAAATGACTACATTGGGTGGAAGCTCCATGACGAATGCACAAAAAGAAATGCTCCAAATTACTTGGGATAAAATCTCTTTAACGTAACTTACATTGAAAGATGGAACATTTTTGTCTTCTCCTGTAAAATCGCCATTTTAGAGACACTTGTTTTCTTTGGACAGTGATGATATGTTTTCTACTAAAACCATGGACCAGCACGCTTTGGTTAAAATTGTATTTAAAACAATCTTAACTGCAGTTTGACAACTAAAACATTTGGCAAATCACAAAAGCCAGTCATTAAGGAAAGGTATTTTCATTTTTTACCTGAAGTGGAATTCAGCTTGCTTCGTGTAGATCCAAATGAACGTTTGGCGTTTTATCGTCTGTTTCATTCACCTGGCCCCTTTTTAACTTCTTTGGTTTGTGCGACCTTTGGAATCATAAAGAAAGTGATGATAAATGGATTGCAAACACACCTGACAATAGTCATGTGATATCTATATTGAAGCCTAGTAAAAGTCTAATTCAGCCTGTTTTATTGCCATTAATGCCATAAATGGACATCCAGCAGGTTTTAAATGAGATACAGACATCCAGCAACTTTTAAATGAGATGAACATCCAACAGCATTTAGTTGGAACTATGCATATTCAGCAGCTTTTAGCTAATATGTGGAGATCAATAGGCTTTTAGATTTAAGTTTAGAGATCCAGCAGCTTATAGGTGGACATATGAAGATCCAACAGCTTTTAAGTAGATATATGAAGACCCAGTAGCTTTTAGGTGGATATATGGTGATCAAGCAGCTTTTGGATGTATATATGGAGATCCAGCAGCTTTTAGGCAGATATATGGCGATCCAGCAACTTTTGGATAATTTAGTTTGGGTAATATGGAAAATGAGCAGCTTTTATATGAAACATAGAGTTCCAGCAGATTTTAGGTGAATATATGAAGCTTTTAGATCAAATATGTTGAACCATCAGCTTTTAGATGGATATGTGGAGATCCTGCAGCTTTTTTGGTATGCAAAAGTTTGAACAGCCCCAGCCAAATTTCATGCTTTGTTGATTTCAATAAATTAAAAATTTCAGAACATAGCAGAAATATTTGTTCATTGTGGAGGATGTGTTAACTTTTTTACGTTTAAAAAATCAACACTGCATGGAATTTGACCAGGGGCGTTTGAACATGTGACGGTATATGTTTAGTGCATTTAGGAAGGTGCACCCACATCACAGTCCAAAGCAGGAGGTGCTATTTGTGGACCATAACAGGTATGCAAGCATGTTAATATACACAATGTTTATGATGTTTTTGACTACTGTTTTTATAAATTGCACTCAAAATGTATATATATATATATATATATATATATATATATATATATATATATATATATATATATATATATACATATATATCAAATATAAAAATAAAATTTTACAACAGACTCAAAATCCATATCAAAATTTTATACATTTGACATATTTGCCTAAAAACAAACTTTTGTAGTCATTTCAACCTTAACATTATACATGTAACCCCTAAACCTCCAAGCATATTATTCAGAATATACTCAATATTAAATGTAGGTATTGATATATGGTGTTAGTGAATCAAATGCTGAAATGCACAAGCCTCTTTAATTTATTTTGTGTGATTTATTTTTCTTAATCCTGTGAGAAAAACTCACACTTTCCTGTTTTATGTGTTTTTTAACACAGTAGTGGCCATCAATAACAGGTTGACAATAAAACATTTTCTGAGTGTATCATTTTATGAAAGTTGCCTCAAAAAGTCTGCGAAATGTTTCTGGAAGTGCTAATCTCAGGGAGGAAAAACAGACAACCTGCATCATTTAGCAACAGCATGGTTTAATTTGGTTTAGTAATCAAATTTGATATGAAATATTTTGATATGAAAGCATTTTCAATTTGGTAGCAATGAAAATTCAAGGTAGATGGTAAGATATGAAAAAAAAAGTATAACATAAACAAAAGAAGAAAAAAACTAAAATATAATTTCGTTCATTACACTGCCATATGTCATCTTAAGTAAATCTGTTTTTAATGTGGATTAAATACCTATCAAGCTTACATTCCTAATATTCCCTGGAACGCTATTGCAGAGTTTAGGAATTACACAAGAAAAGAATCTCCCACTAACTGAGCTGTAAGAAATCCTTGGAGTTTGCAGTAAGCCTAAACTGAGCAAATTAGCCTGGACAGTTGAAAACTATTTAACAACTATTTTTCTTCCTCTTTTAAAACCAATCACCTTAATTTCACAGACTTTCATTATTACAATACTGTCCTGCTCATTACCACATAATGCTACCTTTTATGTTTTCCAGTAAATAAACAGAAATTGCTGAAAATTTGCTGAAAAAGTGCCACATTTATGTTTGTTCCCTGTAGAGGATGTGTAAGAAAAACAATAAAAAATCTCATTTGAACAGAAGGGGTTCAAATGTTTACATAACACTGTATATGTAAACATGGAATATAACTTTATTGTTGTAGCAAAACTTCATAATAAAAAAATTGAGGAGGGACTTCAGATAAGAAGAATAGATGTTCTTAACGTTAATGTAGAAAGATTTTATTCCAACTACTTCTGAAGCATTTCTATTGGTCCATTTGTCATTAGGTAACCACAATTTAAAAAAAAGGAGCCAAAGTATTGATGCGACAGTGACAATAAATGACAGTAAAAGTACAAATAGAGAGTACTGGGAAAATGTCAAAGGCCACCCTTCATTTGAACCAAAGTACAGTCTAAGAAGTTGGTTGAAGTTTCTTCTTCTCACAGTCCAAGTAATCCCAAACACTTTCAATAAGGTTTTCAGATCTCAAGCAGCTTGATTTTCACCTCTCTCACAAATATGAAAGCTTTGGGTGCTGTTTATCTGATTAGGACAGTGTTGGTCATCTACCAGGTCTTCCAGGTGGTTGACTTTCTGCTTCCTTGTGCAAGTGGATTATCTTTTGTCTGATCTCCTCAGGAATATCTCCTGACATATAAATACCTTGTACTTAATGGCTGTATATTAAATAAAGGAGGGGTGGCCTGATTTTTGCACTCTACTATACAATTATTGAAAAGACAGTATATTAAAACAAAGCAATCTTAAACAGCATGTTAGGACTTCTAGTTCTTTTCCAGGTCGTTTTCTCACTTCGCTCTCAGTCATTTGCTTTGTGTAACACACACGCTGTACGCTGGAGGATCTTCTGTTGGTGGGCAGTTCAGGTTTGTGTCGGTGTTTGTGATGTAAAACACATCCTGTGAAAAGAGAGAGATATTAATCACTGATTCTGCTCTGTGTGCTGGGTCTTCTTTGGTATTAGTATAAAGTGCTGAGTTAGTATAGTGTTGCTTGTTAATCATAGCGTTTGTATTGAATTTTATATGAATGATTCCATGACCGAGGTGCCATTTAGCCCTTGTAACTTAAATAAAAAAGTCTACTTTTATCATTCTTCAACACGGAATCTAAAAAAAAAAGCATTTAACCATTCAAAAAATGTCCAGAACAATATTTCATTTTTATGAGGTTTCTTTGCTGACAGTGGTTTAAATAAGTAACAGGACATTTTTTTTTATTATTATTATTATTTTAACACAGATTCAGCAATTACAAAATATGTGGTTACCATGCAGTTTTTAATTTGAATATATTTCTTTTCAAACTAAAATTTGAGTGACAGGTTTGAACTTTTAAGTAGACTTCATGAGTCAATATCATAAAATCAGTAAGAATAAAGAAAAAAAAGACATTACAAAATGTACTTTTCTTTTTCCCATGATCAAGAAATTGAGGTGATGCAAATTCCTGTTGAACATGTGACTTGTGCAGTGTTTCAGATCTTAGGCATCTGGGCAGTGCAGCATGCCCACTCTAATTAGAGGTGGACAAATCAAATGTGTCTTCTCTTTCACTTTTACAGTTTACAAATTTCGATTTTTATGTAATTTTATTAATGTTGCAAAACTAAATTGTTACTTGAGAAGGAAATCAGTGAAAATGCCTCAAATTTTGCTGTGATGTTCAAGCAGTTGCCCCACAACACAGATACATACATACATTTAAGGCCTATTCCAGCCATGCACACTCTTAAAAAAGATGATGCTTTAAGGGTTCTTTGGTAAAGACAACGGTTCTATATAGAACGATGAACACTCAAAGAACAATCTGCATGAATAAATGATTCTTTACATATTCAAATGGTGCTGCAGATTGGTGGAGAATGTGTTGTAAATGGTCCTATATGGCACCAAAAAGGGTTCTTCTTTTAGTGGCAGAACACTTTTTTTTTGGTGCTTTATAGAACAGTTTTCAAAAAGGTTCTGTATAGAACTATAAATAACACATTCTCCATCAATCTTTGCATGAATTTCACCAAGCATGCAAATGATTCTTTGAGTGTTTTTGTTTCTTTATAGAACCACTGCCTTTAATAAAGAACCATCTTTTTAAAATAAATTGGATCTCATAAATTTATAAAGTCAAACCTCCTTTTAACAGCCTACAGACTCTCTTACCTGTTGACTACTGTGAGCTAGGAATGGACTAACCACTGTAGAACATGCTGCCTGGCTTGGAACCACACTTACAGCAGTGACCTTTAAAATGGAGAGAGATGGAGTTTCAAACAACAGCATTATCTCACATACAGATGTTTAACATAGATCAGTGCTTTTCATGGACTAAGAAGTTCAACTGTTCACAGTTCTGTAGAAAAACGTTAGCGCTCTAGTTTTGGACCAACATAATTTATTTGTTTTCATAGCTAAAGAAAAAAAAAAGCTGCCCTCTGTACATTTTGAGGATTTGGAGACCTCTCTGGTAGAAATGGGTAACTGCATGCAACATGTGGAAGAACACTTTGTAAGGTGGGTTGTGCTTCAGACCCCTTCCCTGACTGGATTAGTCTGATGTTTGCATGTACGTTAAAAGAGAATTCAAATAGGACACTCAAAACTTGGTGAAAGACGTGTCTTCAAAGTAAATGATCTATTTCTGTCATTTTATCTTCAGTATAGTGTTGATTTTGCATTGGAGACCTAAATATTGAGCCCAACCTTATGTTTGACATTAATGCATAAAAACACCATAAAAAAGAACAGGGAAAAGTATGCAGAGAAACAGATGGACTACAGTCTGTAACTGTAGAACTACAAAGTGCCCCTATGTGGTCAGTGGAGCTGATAAAATGGACAATGCTGGTTGGAGCTAAACTCTTCAGGGTGGTAGATCTCTTGGACCGGGTTTGAGCACCTTTGTTCTACAGAAAACAAACTAAAATATTTTTGCTGCAAACTTTAGTGCACAATTTTTACTTATTTGCTGAATTTAGCATATTGGAAAATGCATAAAACAGAAAGTATAAAATGTTCCATAACTTTTGCACAGGTCACAAGTTATGTTTTTTTTCCTGCTATATGTTAAATTCAGTAAATAACCAGTAATTTTGCATTAAAAATTGTGTTCTCTGTAGAGGATGTGTTAATTTATTTTCTTGGTAAGTGTGTTCTCTGTAGAGGATGTGTTAATTTATTTTCTTTTAGAAAATCAGTAAAAGATGTAATTTGACCGGGGACTGTATGCAAGTTGAGACCTTGTATCTCCATAGTGGTCACTTTTCAGGCAAAGGAAAAATTATTCACTTTCAATGAAAGTCAACGAAACAACATTTTGGAGCATTAACTGTTGGTCCATTCATCATGAAATTTTAAAACAGTGTAAACGGGCAGCTGGTGTTTTCAACATTCTTAAAAAAAATAGAAATATGGATAAACAGAGATGTTCTGACAATGATGAAATATCCTTTTACTTGCTTTCCTTAGTAGCAGATAGCAAGAAGAGCATTTACAACACTGCACACATTTCATCAACCAAAATGGTTAAACATGGTTCTGTCCCATCACTATAAGGCACCTCAGCTTGGGTGGACAGAAGTGTTCATGTAAAGTAACAGTGATGTTCATGTTCAGCATGGTATGGTGGAATTTATACTCACCACTGGTTCAGTGAAACAAGCGGCTTTGCATCCAAACACTGACATTGTGATGGAGACGATCAACTGAAATGCAGATACTCCCAGCAACAGTAACCTAATCGCGTTGTGCTGTGTAAAATAAAATATAAACAAATCTGAAAAATCGTAAAAGAAACAATGTCAAAATATTACAGTCCTAGAATCTGATTGATTTTATTGAGACCAGTGTGGATGTGAGAAATGGCTGCAACAAAAACATTATGTTTCCTAATGCTCTGTGGGCAACAGCAGTTTTACTTGAGGAGAACATATGAAAGTTGAAATCTAGTCAAAGTCATTTAAATTTGTAACTATACTTAACTATAGAAACTATACCAGTTAACTACAGAAATGGAAGGAATCCATCATACCTTAAAATTAAAGCATTGAGAGTTCCAGATGTTATGGCATGATTTGAATCCTAGACCATCTGCAATATCCACCGCCAGCAGAGTGACGATGATTCCCGCAGTTACAACGCTGAGCACGTTCATTCCCACAGAGCTGTTCACCTGCAGGAGATGGAGGAGTAGAGCAGAATGGATAACTGTGTTGCTGTTTACTGCACAATTTCTTCCTCTACTATTTGCATGGACTGTGGAAAAAAAAGATACATCCAGATGTTATAGGGACATTTTTGTATTTGCCTCCTCCTGACTTCTTCTAGTTCTGCATACTTGTCACTCTTGCTAAACTCAGATCTTTAAGAAATTTTTAGTATAACAAAGGGCAACTTGAGTCAACACAAAACACAATTTCATGAGCATTTCTTTTATTGAAGGAGACAGGTTATCCAGCATTTCAGTCTAAAAATAGACACAAATCCTCTGACTTATGGCATCTTGTGATTACTGACACAAGCTGTTCATAAAAATTCAAATTACTGCTTTATAGATGCATTATTCATATATTTTTATCCATGTGTTATGACATCCTTGTGTAGGTAGCTTTCAAATAAAGTATTACCAAAATATTGATAAAGAAGTAATGTACACAATACAAATGCTAAAGTGCTAATTTGGAGATGATTTTAAGTTTGAAAAGCATTGAAAGTAAGTAACTGTTGTAAACGAATTCCATCATCAAGTGATGTGTCCATTTGGACATGTGTGACAAAAAGCAGCACACTAATGGCCAGGGCCAGCTATGGCCTTTCAGATGACCTAAGTAAGATTTTTTGAGGGGCGTCCATCTTGCTAGCTCATGTGCTGTAAAATTAGAGCAAAACTAATCACAATGATGACCTCACGCTGCATAATTATAAATATTTTTAATCAGGTGACTGTGAATTGCTTACAGCCTGATATAATAATCTCAGCCTGGGTATCTAAACCTGAGTATGTAAACCTGGATTAATAACAATCTGAGTATGTAAACCAGGAATAATCTCAACTTGATTACGTAAACCTAGAATAATCTCAGTTTGAGTATGTAAACCTGGATTAATCACAGCCTGAGTATGTAAACCTGGTTTAAGCACAGCCTGAGTATCTAAACCTGAAATATTCTCAGGCTGGTTGTCTAAAGCTGGATTAATTACAACCTAAATTTTTAAACTAGGATTTGAAGTCATCAATTTTAGTGATGTATTCATCATGACATTTTGTCAAACACATGGTCCAATGTAGATACAAGGCTTTGTTTCTATAGCAATGGTATTTAATCAACCTACACCAATGTAAGTTTTTATTGTATTAATTATTTTGAATGGGTGGGGTGGCAAAGCTTTTTGCAAGGGTTGCAGCTGCAACTGCATACCACCCATGTAGCCACACCCCTACCACAGTCATACATTTCAAAATAATCAATTTTACCCTTAGATGTTGAAGTTATAACCTTTATTTTGCTGTATCTTTCAAATATGATTATGTAAATAAGTACATAAACTTTGTTAAAAAAATGAAAAATGTAAACAATAGCTCCTCCTTGCACAAAAACACTGTGTGTCATGTATTACATCAAATTCAAACCTTAAGAACACATCTCCTCTTTAATAAACAAACACAAATTTGGTACAGACTAAAAATTTAGACTTATTTATGAATTACCTAAAAATAAATAAAAAATATAAAAATATATTAACAGTAATAACATTCTCTAGTTTTGGCCACAATAACTGTATCTTCCAATGGGTAATAACACTGTGAGTAATAAAAATGTTAACGTACCAAACACCGATTACTGCTGTTGTTTGCTGTAACAGTCAGAGAGCCAGTGATGATGTACTGAAAAAGTGAAAACACTATAAATAACTGGAAATATTTGCGGTCAGGAAATTATCCATTCCAATATATCCCAATCGTGCACCTGAAATCCCCCTGCCCTGCTCATTTTAGTGCCCGCCTGATCCAACAGACCATTTTAACCTCTGGAATGTCTTTATGGAAAGGAGTTACAGGACACTTAGTGAGCAGAACTGGAAAATAATGGATTTATTTAATTGTTTTTGCATAATGTAACAAATAATCTCTGCTTACAGTCAGAGCGCCCCAGAAGTAAACTCCAATATAGAAAGAAATTGGTGAGGTGGAAGCTGCCATCACAATGCCACACACAAAATATATGAATCCAATCACTATTTGCATGGACTGTGGAAAAAAAAGATACATCCAGATGTTATAGGGACATTTTTGTATTTGCCTCCTCCTGACTTCTTCTAGTTCTGCATAAATTCAGATCTTTAAGAAATTTTTAGTATAACAAAGGGCAACTTGAGCCAACACAAAACACATATTGAAGGAGACAGGTTATCCAGCATCTCAGTCTAAAAATAGATACAAATCCTAAGCTCTGTGGTTCCAGTGAACCTGAGTGAGAGCCATTATCTCCAATTGAGTAAAACCTTGGAACAGTGATGCTTCTTTTTAGAAGTGGCCAGCCTGCTAAATTCCTATTTAGCACAGGGATGACTCATCCAGGAAGTCCCGAAAGAACCTAGATGAAGATCTAAGGAACTGCAGGCCTCGCTCACCTCAAATAAGGTCAGCATTCATGATGGGCCAAAAACCACCTTGATGACCCCTTTTGGAATAATGTTTTGTGGACTGATAAGTCAAGAATGGAACGTTTTGGCTTACATGGGTCCTGTTACATGTGCAGTGAAGCTCACACAGCATTTCAGAATAAGAACATCATGCCAACAGTAAAACATGGTGGTGGTAGTGTGATGGTGTGGGGATGCTTTTTTGTTTCAGGGCCTGCAGGGACTCGCCATAAGAACCTCAGAACCTTGAATTCTGCAGTCGACTAGAAAATACTGCCTGAATGTCAGGTCACCAGAGATGTGAATCTCATTTGTGTCATGCAGTAGGACAATGATCCAAAGCACAAGAACAACTGCATGTCTCAAAAGTCCAATGGGGTGGACTGGTCAAAGCCTGACTTGATCTCCATTAAGATGCTTTGGCAGGATCTCAAATAGGTAGTTCATGCTCAACAGCTCTCCTATGTGGCTGAAAGAAAGCAATCCTGAGAGGGCCAGAATTCCTCCACAGAGATGTATAAGACTGGTCTTTGAATTCTCTGTTAATCTGCAATAAACTCATAAAATCTTCATGGCAGCTTAAGAAAGACTGTGGCCTCATTTCCTTAGTTATTACTACATTTGTTATACAACAAGGTTTTAGAGCACAAAAAAAAAATTGAACTGATGGCTTTAGTTATGTTTTAATCACCATTATCCCTCCTAGAGTCTTCTTAATTTGTCATTTTACTGATCATTCATTGTTAAGTCAGTTTTACAGCTACAGCAAGTACAACATTTACAGGCCAAAAACAGGGATTTAAAATGAATCTTTTTGATGCCACATTTGATTGAATGAAAGGTCTTACCCCCAGTGCCTTTGACTCTGCTCTCTCAAATCTCCATGATGGGGCCTCAAGAGTCAGGACCCCTGGCCCAGCCCCTGCACCATTTTGCCCTGTTATAGCTGGTGGGATCCCATGGGTCACCACCATAAAGTCATTTCTTGGGTAATTGTCCATTACGGTAGCGCTGGACATCCTTAATGGAGATGTATTCACCTGCGTGAAACCATCGGTTTTACCTCACTGTCAGGACAAAATGCTACTAATAAACAAAGCTAATAATAAAACAAAATAGTTTGTATGAAAGAAAATATCAAAGTAATGTCTGAAATGACAGTAGTTTAACAGGAATTCAGCGAGTGAACAAAAGTAGACCCAGCAACAGTAAAGTTTAGTTCAGTTTTATAGCATTTAAAGAATCTTGATGAAGTATAAAGTCATTAAGTGATCTGTTATAACGCATATAAACAGACAGCATGTTAATCATGATCTTATAAGCCTAGGATCATGGTTAATGTGCTTTTTTGAAACTTTTAAACAGCAGCTTCTACAGCAAACACATTTAGCAAAACATAAAAGCATAAAAAACATAAAAGATAAAGGTTTAAATAAGTAAAATATTTTTTCCTTTTTTTTTTTTTTACCTGAAAAGGAATTCACTGTTCCTCTTGGTGAAGATCCTCAGGAATAGCTCAGTGTTTTATCTTGCTTCATTCTCTTGGCCCTGTTTTAAATTGCACAAATTATGGTGATCTTTGGAATCATAATGGAAAGGTTGACAATAATCTTGCATGCATTTACTGTGTGTACATGTTTATCTTATCTGTCACACAAAAATCTTGTGTGTCCTTTTTTTTGGATAATTAAAAAACTGAGCCAATTGAAATTGTCCAAAAATACTTTTTTTTTTTTTACATTAGCTTTCATTACGATTTAGAAATATTTTTTTTTTTTTGCTTGTATTTTTGGCTCCTCACAATCTATAAAACCTCCACATCTCAGATGTCCAGATTCTGCATTCTTGGGCTTCTTGGCAGCTACACATGCTTTCAGAACCATAGCACTGAGTTGTCTCCTCACAGTAGAAGGATGGACAGAAACAAAGTCATTTGTTGTGGTGTTATTTCAAAAGCTTCATTCTAGTAAAGCTTACAGAGTTAAGCTTGTCAGTAAACTGTGGCTCCACATTAATTTAGAAAGGATCTCACCAGTGGGAAAGCATAGAACGAGCTGCTTAGTTAATGTTAAAAATATTAGTAATACTTTATTTGAAGGCTTCCTACATAAGGACCACATAACACAGGCATTAACACTGAATAACATATTTAGAAAGAATATTTATGACCAGCCTTTTCTAGTAAGATGACATACGATGTTTGAGGAAGTAAATGAGATTACAATGACATAAGTAACCTTAAATTAAAGTAATGGGCACTTGTTCCATTTATAACAGTATTATGAAGCATCATTTTTAAGTACTGGAATTGAGAACATTGATGAACATAGACTTGATGTAGTTCTATGTAGAGTTGACATAATTCTACATGAGTACAGTACAAAACTCATGTTATTACTCCGACTTATGGCATCTTATGATTACTGACACAAGCTGTTCATAAAAATTCAAATTACTGCTTTATAGATGCATTATTCAATTCTTATGCATGTGTTATGGCATCCTTGTGTAGGTAGCTTTCAAATAAAGTGTTAACAAAATATTGATAAAGAAGTAATGTACACAATACAAATGTTAAAGTGCTAAATTTTTGCTTTGTTTTTATCACTGTTTCTCGATTTTTGTCATTTTTTTAATAATGTTCTGCATTGTATCAGATTTTCATTACAAATGAATACAAATAATCAAGATCACACCAAGTAAAAGGAAAATTTTATTGTTTAAAAATATATATATAGAAAGGACAGACATTAGTTCATAACAGAAACAGAAAATGATCTGTTCTATGAGAGCATCTGCTCCACATCACAGCCACAATATATTTACCTCTCAAAGCAGGAGGAGCTATTTATGAATGAAAACAGAAGCACTGGTGATGTTTTTTTTCTTCTTTACTAATATAAATGATGCAGGTCATATATTATAAAAGCCTAATTTCAAGTAATCCTTCTCAAAATTAGATATTTCTGACAAGGTGTTGTGGTGTTAAAAAACCTTACAGCATCTGTTAAGATGTTCAAATTATAATTTGGTCCCACTTTATATTAAGTGTCTCTAATAACTGTGCAGTTAAATGTGAATAACATATGCAACAACACTGTAACTACTAATGATTTAGTCACTTTTACAGATGGATTACAGTAGTACATCTTATGTAATTACACATGTATCAACTTCAGTTTGGCCTCATGTAATTACACAAGTGAATCTTAAAAGTTGTAACAACCTATTCTCTCTCATGTAATTACGTAGGGTAATAACAAATGTAATTAAATTTGTAATCATACTGGAACAGTGGTTCTTTTTTAAGAAGTTTTTTTTTTTCAGCAGTTAAAATAAGTATGTAATAACTTACATTAAGACATTATTTGCACTGTATCTGCCAGCTTTCCTAACATTTGGCTAGCATTTATGTTGCTAGTGCTGTGACATTGTAGCCAGTTTCCACTTTAAACTATTCTGTACATGTGACAGTACAGCAGATGACCTCTTATCATTTAAATGTGATCAGTTAAATATGTTGCATTACCCCCAACACAACGTCTATATCACCCCTCCATTATTACACAGTACTTATATACCAACTACACAGGACCTGTCCACTTATTTTAAAGTGTTACTTTAACACTACAATGCAGGAAAGTTCCTGTGTAGTTGTTATGTAGGTACAGTGTAATAACAGAATGGTATTAATCAATGTGATGTGATTAGGACACCATGTTACAACAAAGTTATACCACAGTAATTATGCAAAACATAAATTTAATGTTATGTAAAACATACTTCCTTTTACTGCTGGAAAAGACTTCTGATCTGTAGTGTATGAGGCAAAACTGATGTTGAAACGTGTGTAATTACATAGGCTGTTCCTCTGTAATCTATCTGTAACACTAACTAAATCATCGATAGTTACACTATTGTTGCATATGTTATTCATGTGTAACTACACATTTATTAGAGACACAATATAAAGTGGGACAGATCATTTAACCGGACCATTGAATATTTAACCCTCAAACCTCCTGGCTTATTATTCAGTTATGAGACTTTAAGGTATATTACTGAGCAACTACTAAATTTATTCAGCAACTACACTAAAAAAAGGTGATTCAAATGTGCACATCAGTTCCACACAAGTGAAACCTGCTACATCACTTTGAATTAAGCAAGTTAAATGAAGTAGGTAAACATGGTAATTACATTGATATAACATTTCACTCATGTTATGCCAATGTATACTCCCATGTCTAAAATTCATTGAGTTTTACTGATGGTTTTGGGCTGGTCAGAGTCCAGATTTAAACCCTATAGAGTATATTTCATCTCACATTTAACTCAAACTAGCTCAGCAGCATTTTTCAGCCATTTGTAGCCATTAATGCTGAGTGGACCAAACCAACATTTAAGTTATGTAATTATGAGAAACCACAGATGTTTGAAATTTAACCCATTTAATTTGTGAATTCTACAACATGAAATTGACCCCTTTTCTGATATAGTTTATAATTTATTTATTTGATATGGACATGAAAGTAGCATTGGAACAGCAACATACAATTGTGCTCAAGCACCGGATACATTGTGTTTAGTGTTTATAGCCAAAAGCTAATTTACAACACCTGCCCATGAGAGACTTTTTAAATATATATACATAAAAAACATAACAAGAGATACTTTACAGATACAATAAAATACAAGTGTGTCAATGGGAGAATATTAAGTGTGAGAGCAGCATTGTTTGTCTTTTAGCCATGATTTAATACCTCTATTGAAAACAGTAAAGTCAGGCTGCACATGGGGTTTTTACAAGCAAAATCACATAAATTCTTGACTTTAAACAATTTAATCATGACTTTTTCACTTCTTTAGACCTTAAACATGGCTTTCTTCACATATTTTCAAAAATTCCACCCTTTACCAATCAAGACACCATCAATTTTCACAACAGATATACTAAAAAACAATATATTACCACTACACTTTCATATAGGCTACATTAGAGCTGGCCTTGAACTGGCACTGCATTAGAATTGGTCTAAACATGAAAGGTATTTGTGTCAGTGTCATTTGCACATGTCTTGAATTTGCATGGCTATCATCCATCAAGTGGCTCGTCAGATCTACATAAAAAATTACTTTGTGGTAAAAAGTAAATTAACTAGTTTTATTCAACCTAAATAAAAACTTTAAATGAACGATTCTTTCAATCAAAGTCATTTTTTGAGTTGAAAAAAAACTTTAGGTAGATCTGACAAGCCACTTTCTACAGTGTACAGTGAAAGCAGATCAAATTCTTCTTAAATTCCACTATCTCTAGACTATATTTGCATAATGTGGTTTTTGTTTTTTTTTTTTCTATTGGGAATGCCACTATCTGAGCCAAAACTCCACTTCACACCCAGGCTTCCAGACACACCTCCAAAGTTCAGTCTTAGAAGTTGGTTGATCATTTTCTGAAGTAATCCAAACACATCCAGTGATGTTGAGGTCTGGACTCTGGGGTGGTCAGTCCATTGTTCAGCTTCTTTGTTTGATGTGTCCGTCTCCTTTTCTCAGTGAGGCTTCTTGAACAGCTACACATCCTTTCAGACCCATAGCGCTGAGTTGTCTTCTCACAGTGGAAGGATGAACAGAGACACTTGTGGATTGTTTCAGACCTGAAGCAGCTTGATTTTCTCCTCTCTCTCAAAGATGGAAGCTTTAAGTGCTGTTTATCTGATGGGGACAGTTTTGGTGTCTAACAGGTCTTCCAGGTGCTTGTTAGGAGTCCCATTTTCTCTGTAGCTGTTACGTGTCAGTGCCTGTGCATGTGTGTGTTTGTTTTTTCTCCCCTCTCTGTTGCTCTTCAGCCTGCAGATTTGAGCCCAAGGAGTTGGAGCTTGGACTTTAAAAGCAGTGTGCAAGAGTTTGTCATCTGCCCTGGGCATCATGTGACCTATGTCTCAGCATTTGGCCCATTTGTTTGGTTCCTGGCTTGCTGTGGTCTTGGCTCTCTTTAGTAAAGCTAGCTTGCTTTAGCCTCTGCTTATTAGATTTAGCT